CCCCCCCCCCCCTCTCGTCTGTTTCCTTCTTTCCCTCCTTCCTTCTTTCCTTCTGAGCCTGGAACTCCCAGACCTTTACCTCTAAAGCGCTGGGATAATAAATACGTGACCCTCCACCCTTGGCAGTTTTCCTGGCATCTTTTTCCCTTCTTCATGTGCTTGTGTGAAATCTAACTGGCAACTTGTGACGTCACTCAGCCCACGCTCTCATCCTCCTGGCAAGTGGCACCGTGAGCCAACCCGTGAAATCCGGCAACCAGTGACTTAGCTCAGCCCGCACCGAGCCAGAGTTCCCTGGCACCCGGGGTCTTCTTGGGGCAGCGCGGGCCAGAGGGAACTAAGAGCTCCCTGCACGAGCTGCAGGTCACCGGGCTGTGGCGCCCTGGGTCTCGCGGCCACTTCCGCTGACGTCCACGGGTCGTGTGCCCAGGCGGGTAGGGACCATTACGCCCTGCTCAGAGCCGCAGCCCTCGAGGGGCTCTTCCTGTCCGCCAAGGGGACCGACCCGACCGGACTGCTAAAGGGAAGCTGTCGGCGGGGCTGTCTCCGAAGACCCCCAAAAGGACCCTGGATTGTGAGTAACCCTTAAAAAACACATTTTTAGCTTGGGCCAGACAGCACACTCCTTTAATCCCAATACTGCAGTTGCAGAGGCAGGAGGATTTCTGAGTTTGAGGCCTGCTTGATCTACATAGGGAGCTCTGGGATAGCTAAAGCTACACAGTGAGACCCTATCTCAAAATAATTAGACTCAGCATTCGGGAGGCAGAGGCAGGCAGATTGCTGGGAATTCGAGGCCAGCCTACTCCATATATCCAAGTTCTGGGACAGTCAGAGGTACATAGAGAGACCCTGTCTCAAAATAATAAATACATAATAGGAAATTACACGTGATAATAGAAGAAAATATGTAGAGTTGCTAAGTTTAGCTGCCTCCCCTTCTGAAACCTAAAAGGAGCAAACATTTAACATGAAGGATTTGGCAGTGGGGTCTTTTGGTTTTGTTTTGTACTCTTGAGACTAAGTTTCACTGTGTAGCCCAAGTTGGCCTTGAACTCTTGAACCTTCTGTCAGCCTCAGGAGTTCTGGTGTGCTGGGCATAAAATCATGCTAAAATCAGCTAAAATCGTGGTATCTTTTGAATGTTCACAGTATCTACAGCAGGCACAGACGCTTGCAGCAGACTGTAGCTTCAACTCCAGGAGATCTGACCTCCACAGGTACCTATACTCATGTGCACCCCTCCACACACACAATTTAAAAAAAAAAAAAAACAAATCAGACGGGGGTACCTCACCCAGCAAGTAGCACCCTCTCTTCTCAAAACTTGCTGGATGGCTCCTGCTCTGTTCCCAAAGAGGATGTTGGCTGCACTCAGCCTACAGGAGAGGCCCAGAGGCAATTCCTAGTCAGAGAAAGACTGGGATCTGCCAACATCCCTGAGGCTCAGATGGAATAAAAGAGGAATGAGAACACCATTTGAGAACCACAGCTCCTCTGCGTCCTGTTCTGTGGGGACCTGAGGAAGCGCACAGTCCCAGCCATGTGTTCCTCACCACACTGTATACCCTCAAACCGTGACCAAAATAAATCCTTCATGTCAGGTGACAGTGAGAAGACTAATGGGAAAAGGCCCCTTCACACCGAACCCCTAGTCCTAACAGGGTCTCTGTTTGTAGGAATGGTGCCAAGAACTGGTATGAGGTACCCACATGCTCACAGGGACACAGACGGAGCACAAGGAAGGAAACCATTTCTGCAGTGTGCTGAAGTAGCCCAAACTGCTTAGCCAGAGGGCCAGCTGCTTCCAGGCCTGGATGTTGTCCTTCCGTAGCCACTGTTCAATGATTATCTCCATGTACAACGGGGGGATCCCCACCAGCAGCAGCAGGATGAGGTACATCAGCAGAAAGCTGCCTTTGGAGGGGTGGGATCTTACTCAGGCAGCTGGGAGCCCCTCAGCCCTCACACTCCTCCCTGGGGGGTCTCGACACCCCTTCCTTAACCTCACAGCATAGGCTCTGGCTTCACCTCCTCCATTCTGGTGGCACAGGTATGGGAAATGCCAAATGCTTCCAAGTCCAATGGAGAAGGCCACCTAGATCAGGATATTCTATGTCGTCTTCTCCTGGAAGTGGTTTGGGATCTTGGTAATTCGGACCTCTCTGGTCCTGAAGCCCCAGGACACGGATGTGGGGTCACTGTGCACACCAGAAAGCCCAGGGAGCTAGAGGTGATAGCAGAGCTAGGACAAGTCTCTGTGAAGTGAGGCGGGTGTCAGGGATGGTGACCAGAGAGTCCCGTCAAGAGCTTGCTTGAGGTAGCTATGGTCTCTTCTGTGGGACGCTTACTAGGGATACTGGTGGTGTACATGAACCTGTCCTCTGGACAGTTGGAGGTCCTGAGGCTCAGCAGGAAGGAGGCCACTGGGACGCTTACAAGCACTGAGATCCTCATCCTAATAATCAGGACGATATAGAGGATGACCCAGGTGGCAAAGAGGTACAGGGTGATGTTCAAGACCAGCATCTAAATCCCTTCTTCCACCTGGCTGGAGGCATCAAGGGTTACGCGATACCAGAAATACTGGTAGGGCACTGTCCGAAGGCACTGGATCTCTGGGGGGAGGAGGAGGCAGAGATTCAGATACTTAAAGGTCACCTCAGATGGTGCCTCCAAGAGCTCTTGCAACTAACCCATCTCTCTGTCCTCCTTACTAGTCATACTGATGGCAAGCAAGTGCACTCATCATAGAGGCTTCCTGACTCAGCTTTAGCTGCAAAACCCTGCAGCTCTTTTAAGAGATCCTGCCAGGAAACACTTAAATGGTGGTGATGAAAAGCTGAAGGCATGCTTTTCGGTTTTCAGCCATAGGAGGAAAAAGCTGTGTCGTTTAAAAGTGCTGGCTTTCTGGGCTGTCCTGCCAGGCAAAGTCTGACTCCTTTAGGCAGGCAGTCCAACTGAGTGTGGTCTGTGAGCAGAATGCTGCCGCTTGCTTGCTGTCAGGGACCTTAAACCCTCACAGAGTTGTGGCAATAAAAATGTCTACTGCCAGTACCTCTGCCACGAGGCTGGAAAGCTAAGGAATGGGCTGGATCCAGCCGCCAAAGCCACGGCTTTAGTCCTACTGATATTGCTTGGTAAATTAAAGACTCATGTGGCCACAAGAGACATATACAGTAAAAGAAAGAGTCAGAGTCGAAGAAAACATCTAAATGGTTTTCAGTGTGTTAAAAATATATGTAGGCTAAAGGTTAAAGTTCTTAAAAAAAGAGAGTAGTTGGGAGTGGTACACGCCTTTAATCCCAACACTTGGCAGGCAGAGGTAAATTGACCTCTGTGACTTCAAGGGGTAGAAGTAGAGTGACCTCTGTGACTTCAAGGTGTGGTAGCACATACCTCTAAACCCAATGCCTGTGAGGCAGAGACTGAGGGATCTCTGAGTTCAAGGACAGCCTGGTCTACAGAGTTATTCCAGGACAAAGATATACAGAGAACTTGTCTCAAAAAGTAAAATTAAAAGTAATAGAGGTTAAAGTAAAACCACATAAAGATGGAAAATACACAGAGAATCTTGATACTGTATGCTATTATGCTCTCTTTGAATTGTTTGAATGCTGAGGAAGGAGCAACAGCTGCAAAAAGATATTTGTTTATAAATGCTATTGAACTAACCCAAGATAGATATTTTGAAAATACCTTGACTTCAAAATTTGGATCTAAGGATACTTTAGAAAAAGAGATTCTTTTGTTTTCACAGAGGATGAGACCCTGTGGATTGCTTCTATCCCAATATGGTATGATGGACCACGTCTTTCTGAAAGGTTGCTGTGAACACCCTCAAGAAATTACTTTGCTCAACTGCCGACTGAGATGAATCTAGCACACAAGTTATATCATGAAAGACCTGAATAACAACGCCCCAATTCAGCATGAAGCAGTTTGGAGAGAATGTCCATATTTCCAATATTGTTTATAAATGTTCTTTTACATTTAAAGGGGGATATGATATATGAATAATTTGCATTGGTATGGATTTTAAGGTCAATTTTGTTATATATATATGTATGTATTTCTGATCTTGATTAAGGTATTGTGATTGTGTAGTTCATTTAAAAATGTAATATATATATAGGTTGTTAATGGATAATCATCAATAATCAAGCTTGTAGTCACATTAGATTTTCTAGATATATAGAGTTATATTTCGGTTAAATAGGCATTCTTCATATCTTTCAAAGACTACAGAACATGGCATTTTAAATGTCTTAATAACTTAGGATTGTTCATGACAGTGAGACACATCCGCTCCTGACAGCACCAATCTACTTCAAGAGGAAGATGGGCATTGAAGAGGCTCCTTATCAAATTTGATAGCCATTTGGGCAAGAAACTGCTCTTGCCTGGACTGTTGCATAAACTGGACACAGAGAACCTGCAGAGAGAGGACTGCTGAACTTGCCTAAAGGTGAAATGGTCTTTCAGGGTTCCTGCTTCATGAAAGAGTCTACAAGACATTCTGCAGGACACAGCAGATCGTGACTGAACTGTCTTTGAAATTTCCTGCTTCATGGAAAAGTCTGCTGGATACTATGGGCCTGAAGGTTGAAGACTGATGCCCCAATGGTACAGAGGAACTTTGGTTGACTGCACAGGCAGCGAGATGTCTCTGTCATTTCTAGAGTTTTGGAAGTTTCTTACTTCTTGTTTGCTTAGGTAATATTATATCATTCTGGAGTCTTTGATGGAGTTGAAGAATGAATAGTTATAGTTTTACTTAGTTATGATAAAAGATAAAATATAAATATTGTAACTGTAATTCTTGTTTGATAGCTGTTTTGTTATATGTAATTTTACTATGTTAAAGTGAAAGCCTTTCCTTTTTGTTTAAACAGAAAAAGGGGAAATGGTGGAAGATAGTCATATGTCTATCTGTTGCTTTCATCAGTTAATTAATAAACTGCTTGGCCTGATAGGTCAGAACATAGATGGGTGGAATAGACAGAATAGAATGCTGGGAAGAAGGGAAGTGAGGTCAGATGCTATGGAGCCAGCCGCCAGGTCAGACATGCTGAATCTTCCCCGGTAAGCCACCACCTCGTGGTGCTACACAGATTATTAGAAATGGGTTAATCAAGATGTGAGAGTTAGCCAATAAGAGGCTGAAACTAATGGGCCAGGCAGTGTTTAAAAGAATACAATTTGTGTGTTGTTATTTTGGGGCATAAGCTAGCCAGGCGGCTGGGAGCTGGCCTGCAGCTCCTTCTATAACAAACAAAAGACACAGAAGCTCGAGGGCCTGAGTTTGGTCTCCAGCACCCATATGTAAGACCAGACAGAAAGGGATCCTTGGAACCCAGAACTGGGGTTCTGGTGGGGGCAGGAGGATCCAGGGTCCTAGTCTAATCAGCGTGCTCCAGAGCAGTGAGACCTGTCTCAGGAACAAGGTGGACAGTGAGAAGGAGTGGAATTAGCAGGGCCCAGACTGCATGCTAGGATGCACAGGTAAAAGGGCAGAACAGAAACATAAGAGACTGGATCCAGGAACATGATTCTGGGCGGTTTGGGAGTGTGAGTGACATTGGGGTGGGTGCTGGGACGCTCCTGTCATACGTAAACTTTTGTGTGTGCAGCGGGGTCTGCACAGCCTGTGGAGGCCAGAGGTAAACCTTTGGTGTCTTTCCTTAGGCACTGCCCTCCTTGTTCACCTCCCACTGACCAGTTCACTCTCCAGGCCCCCACCATCACCTCCCTCCTCTTCACAGCGTCCTGCCCACCCTCAACCTCACTAATGTTTTCTCTATCTTCCTTCTCCTGCTTCTTGTGACCTACCTGCCTAGATGCTGATTTTCTCCATATTCTTCCCCTATGTCCTCCTCTGCTGCTTCCTCATCCGCAGTCTCTTCCTGCTAGGAGCGATGGCTAGCCTCAGGCGCCTGGTGACCATAGAGGCGAGTCCCTCTCTACCTCACTCCCTAGGCCTCCCAGGTTTGTTGCTCTGTCGGCCTCACCTCACCTGGGAACCCTCTCCTCCACAGCTCTCTATCTTGTCATCGCTGGACACATGGCGTCAGGCTGGAGGCCATGTGCTCTACTCCCTCGGCCTTGGCATGGGCACCATCATCACTTTCTCTTCCTACCAGACTAGAGGTGACAACTACATCAAGTTGGCCTTCTTTGTGGCCATGGCCAACCTGGTGACATAGTTGCTGAGCACGGCCATCATCTTTCTGGTGCTGGGCTTCTGGACCCAACCAGCGGGCCCAGCTGTGTTGAGAAGTGAGTGGCACAACCTGGCAATGCTAGCAGAAGCTTTCCCTCCTCAGCTCCCCTTCAGCACCACAGTCCTGTCGGTCAGACCCTTCCATTGAACCCCACTTCACTTCATCCTCAGAGTAAACAACCACTGCCTAACGGAAGAGGACAGTTCTAGAAATTGCAGATGAAGCTAAGGATCACTTTCAAGTTGCTTCTTTAACCCGCAAGGCTGCTGTCACAGCTTGCCATGATGTCACAGCTGCCACGATGTGGGCGGCGGCTGTTGGCATGGGCTGTGTTTAAGTTGGGAAGCACCAGGTGTTTGTGCTTAGCCCAGTCGCTCTGCTTTTTTTTTTTCTAGGTGTAGCCAGATACTGGGGTGTGTTTGTTTCTTTTTTTGTTTTGTTTTTGTTGTTTGAGACAAGGTCTCACTGTCTATCCATGGCTGGCCTGTACTTCACTCTGTAGACCAGGCTGGCTTCACATTCATAGAGATCCGCCTGTCTCTGCCTCCCAGTGCTGGGATTAAAGGTGTGTGCCAGGACTAGAGAGATTGCTCAGTGGTTAAGAACACTGACAGCAGCCAGGTGGTGGTGGCACACTCTGGAGGCCCTGGCAGTTGGTTCTCTGAGTTCGAGGCCAGCCTGATCTACAGAGCAAGTTCCAGGACAGCCAGGCCTACACAAAGAAACCCTGTCTCAAGAAACCAAAACAAACAAGCAAACTTGCTGCTCTTCCATAGGACCCTGGGTTCAGTACTCAGCACCCACATGTTGACTTCCAACCATCTATATAGGTCCAGCCCAGGGATCCAACACCCT